AACCTTTAGGCCAATTTTCCCCAGTCAACAACATGTTATCCACAATCGATGAGCAAACTGGAAAATATAGAACCATGTTTGTTTTTGTCACTAATCTAGTTAAGCTGACTATGCATATCCTCAAATTCTCTATATTTATCTAGTCATTAATTTGCTGTCTAGGTCATTAACCTTTAGGCCACAGCCCACAGGTTGTTTGGAAATAGCTCCGCCAGACATAGAAGAAAGGAGTGTAGGATTGGTAAGCAGTTTTCCCCAGTCAACACCATGTTATCCACAATCATTGAGCTAACAGGTAAATATAGAATCATGTTTGTCTTTGTCATAAATCTAGTTAAGCTGACTATATGCATATCCTCAAACTCAGTCAAATCTGACTGATTCATCCATTGTTGTCGAATCCCTCCTGTTGACGAGACAAACCATCATTCCTTTTGTACTGGTGAATTAGCTACTAGCATATGGAAACTTTTTGGTGATCGCTTTGACATTCCTTGGGATCCTGGATCTATTATAGGTTTCTTTTCTCGATGATGGTCTATGAAACCTTTTAATTCATTGCATCAACAAATTCTTAAAATTGCTACTATTGTTATTTGTTGGGAAATATGGAAAGCGAGATGTGCGCCTAAGTATGGCTCTAAGAGAATTTCCTATGCTAGGTCGAAGCATCAAATTATTTTCCATCTTAGATGGTCGATAAACAAACTGGCTGGTGGCAGAGATTGGCCTTGGCAGTGGCCAGATCTATGTTCTACTATTTTGTCTCTTAGGCCTAAAATTGATAGCATTGTTGTTCTACGGAAAAAACCACAATGATTGGGTAAAAGTCAATACAGATGGCAGTTGCAACTCTGAAGGATCAATTGGTGTAGACTTTTTAAGAAGGGATTCAACGGGCAATTTAATAGTACCCTTTGCAAAACATATTGGCAGAGGTACAAGCAATATAGCAGAGGCCAAAGCAGCCTATTTTGGAGCCAGATGATGTGTGGAAAATTGCTATCCGAACTTTATTTTAGGATGTGATTCCCAAATTACAGTCAATATGATCAAAGATAAATCTAAAATGCCCTGGAAATTGTGGGATACTATTATGGAGACTAGAAGAATTACTTTACAGGCCAATGCGATAGTTCGACATTGCTTCAGAAAGTCAAATCAAGTGGTGGACGCACTACCTAAATACTGTTTATATAACAAGGAGGTCTTATTTTTTATCCTAAAGATTTGCCAAAGGATGCAGCTGGCCCATACACCCTTGATGAGATTGGGATGCCCTCCATAAGACAGGCAAAGAAAGAATATATTTTGAGTCACTAGCTATGATCTGTCTTTCTTTAGTTTTTGCTGTACATGACCTGTTTTCAAGGGTTTATATTAATGCTTATTTCCGGAGGTTTAGGCTATCGTCCCCCTATGCTTGTTCTCTGTATAAATCTTGGATGAAATAAAAGGTTTGCGCCACCGAAGGCATAAAATTTACATAAAAATATAAAATAAAAAAAAATCTGACTGATTCGCAGTGGTGTCATGGTCAAGTCAGTCTCCATTACAAGCCCAGTCAATCTTATTTTCTGCTACACTTTACAAATATGATTTGCAAACTTGAGTTGTTTCACCACCTTGTGTTTGTGGGGTTTGTTGAAGTGCAGAGGATCATTAAGTATATTGTAGACTATTCTTGATGATAATAACATTATCAAATGTCGAGAATCATGAAGAGTATGTGCTGAATTATTATGATTAGGTCATGATACTAGTGATCTTAAGAATTAGAAAACTTTCTTATAGGAGCTATCTAAATTCGTCACTAATTCAAAGAGTTTCTCTCTTTAATTTGTCCTTTTTGCTTACTCGTCAAATCTTGGTGAGACTCTTTTATGCATTGATCAGAAAAGAGAAGTGTTAATTGTGTTGATTAATTAGCATGATTTTTGGAGTTTCTATTATTTTTTGGATTGAATAGAATATTTTATTTTGTTGTAGTTGATTGTTTTTCCGTTATTAGTTGAGATTCACGTGTACAAATACACCTTCTTATGGGATGTAAAGACATGGTATTAGAGTCATTGTTGCCTTCTGTGGTGAGTTTTTTCTCCCTCACAGCACTAGGATTCCTTCCTTTCAATAAAGAGGTCGAGTTTTCTCCCTCCTTGATGTTGTCAGCAACTAAAGCTCTGTTTATGTCCGTGTTTTTGAAAAATCTAATACGGTGACAGGTTTGCCAATCAATTTTGAGTCTACCCTCTAAATTTCAGATATTTCCAATCGTCGGAGCTAGGGTTTCTAATGATTCCTTTTGGATATTAAAAATAGTCTTCTTTTGAGTATTTATGTGACAATGATCGATTTGAAGTACTAAATCCCTTCATTCAACTGCAAAATATCCTACAACCGATCAAAGTAGTGAAGAAATTGAAATATGTCTTACGATTAATTAATCAATAAATTCCTTAGGGAATCAAAAATCAAATAAACACATGAGAAAAGGTGAATAAATCACTAATTAAACCTTAAGGTTCATCAAAACTCAACTACAACAGAGTTACTCCATACATGGAGATAGTTAACTGTGACTATAATAAAGATCAGCAAGTTCATGATCCAAGAGAATAAAAGAGAAGATAAATTGAAGTGAAGAAGAAACTCCCAACAAATCTTCATTCTCTCATGAAACGTTGGAATCTTCCGCTTCCTTTCTGTATTTGTTCCTCCAATAGCTGCATCTGTCACGGTGTCTGCCGTCGCAAGTCTCCAAAAATTTCTCTATATATACGTCATTCAGCCCTAATAACCTAAATTCTAAGAACTATTGCATTCAGGTCGCATTGTCGCAGTGGTCAATACTCAAGCACTACGATGGTTGGGCTGTTTAATGTGTCCTACAAGTGTTGAAGGAGTGTTGCAGCGCCCAAAGTTCCAGTGCTGCGATGGCCGGGGCTGTTTCGTGCACAACAATTCTTCAACAAGTTTTTTCTTCATTTCTTGCATCTGTTTTGCTTGAATCTTGTTTGTTTCCTCCTTAACTCCATTGCATATTTATCATCAAAACAACACAAGTATGTGAGGAATAACATCATATAACAATTTAAACCTAATAATTCGAAACATGAGAAGAGGCATAAATACACATATAATTGTGGTTCATCAACAAGGAACTCAAATGATTTTATTATTTCCCCCCTTCAGTTGAATGTTTAAACATCATACATTTTGAGTTTTTATGTTCCTCTCCTTGGTCAATTTTTTTCGTAAAAAATGTGTTAGTTGGAAATTTATCTTTGTTTATAGGTAGGATTATTCTTGTTCAGCTTTGGATTGAATATCTATCTGGGTGCTATCACCAACTTTTCTTTTCTTCTTATACCTTATGGTGGTGCTAGGTGTCTGTGTTTGACATCAAGTCCTGCTGTGGTTTAATAAAGTACTTCAAAATGTCCTGACTAGAAAGATTGTAAACAAACATGTGCAGGTGGAATCATTGACTAATCAAGAAGAAGTGGAGTTGCGCAGTAAGATCCAAGCACTAGGACTGGAAGTTACAAAAGTTCCTTCAAAATCAACACAAAATCTTGACGAGGTAGGTTGGTAGTTATTTTGGTTCGAAAGAACCGTATTTCCATTCTTTCCTCTTTTTTTTCCCTGGTAAACATAATTTATTCATTTGCAAATGTATATTAGATGGAGATTGCGAAGCAGATGGATAAATTATCAGAAAAGCTGGATGACGTGGATAGGATGATATCCTCCGCTGTTGCTGCGGATCCACAAGTTGGGTCTCTCTTAAGCAGTACTGCTGATCTTTGGATGCCAGTTATTACAGCTGGTTCTGAGGAAAGGCGTAACCTTAATGCGTCAGTTGAAGATGATGTTGAAGTGAAAGGCAAAAATTCTCAGTAGCTTTTAGTTAAAATCATCGTCATATGTTGATTTTGATTCTTTAATAAACGGTAAACAGATTCCTTCCATCATCAATTACAAAGCATAGCCAGAGGGTTTATGTAGGTATCCTCAAGTTGAAATCACATTTACATCTTCTGATGACAAAGATGATACTTCAATTTGTTAAGAGATGTTCTGTAAGTCATTTCTAGATCTTGAAAAGGCAAATAGGACTTGGTGATGCTTGAACATATTTCTGTCAGAATACTTGGAGACCTTCCTCTCTGGTGTAAAATAACTATACATGATATGTTTACTTTTTAGCTGTGAATGAACAGTGCGTTGAACATTTTGTGTATTGATGTTGTCTCACTATTATGTTTAATACTAGACACAAGTGCACGGATCCAATATTTGTTAATTTTGTCTCAATTTATGTGATATAGAAAGAATTTAGAGTCACTTACATTTTAATATGAATTTTTTATATTTTAAATTGTTAATTATTGTGATTTATATACTTTTTTTTAAAAAAAAAATGATAGATGTTAGTCTCTCATCTCAATTTATATTACACTGGTAAAATTTTGAGAATCACCAAAAAATTTTGTCTTTTAATTTTCAATTTTTTTAATTATTGTGGTCTATATTACTTTTACATCATTTTAAAACAATATATGTGACTCATCTATCCCTATTTATGCGGCACCGAATTGAGGGTCAATTGAATTTTTTATGTCTTTTAAATATTTCAAGTTATTAATTATTATGATTTTTACTACTTTTAATGAAATTTTAAAATATTATATGTTACTCCATTTGTTCCAATTTATGTAGCACAAATAGAGTTTCAAGAGTCAATCATTTGCTTTTAAATATTTAAAAAAATTTAAGTTGTTAATTATTGAGATTTACAATACATTTCATGTAGTTTCCAAATGACACATTTTACTTCTTTTGTCCAATTTTATGTGGCACTGATAGATTAATTTCAAATGTTAATTAATTTAATTTTTTTTGTATAAAAAGGATTTTCATATATATAATAATACTAGTTGTCCAGGAGTGGCATGTACATTTAGTTATAGTTTGGCCACACCCTAGTCCTAGGAAATATTAAGATCTTTCTAACATAATTAGTTCCTAAAGTGCCGGCTTCCATCTCCTTTTTTACAAACACCGGAGGAACAGTTGGTTCATCAAAGACGGCCTTCTTGGCTATTACATTTACATCTGCCACTCTGTTTTGTTCTCTACACATATGAAATAGTCTTTTTATTTCCAGCTTCTTTATTAAATATATGTACTCAACAAACAGATTATCATAGAGCAAATTGTTATGATTTATTATGCATACTACTACTTCAATTGAGTCGATATTGATTTCAAGAGGTTTAAGCTTATGTTTTATTGCTAATAAGAGCCCTCTTCTCAGTGCTTGGAGGTGGGGTTGGTGAGAAGGGTGAGTTTGGTGAAGCCTAGAACCTAGCCCCATGTGGTTTCTAAAGACCGTCTGATCCAGATTATTTGTTTGTCACAGAGCCATATATATTGAGCTTGAAGTTTCTCATATCAGGTGATTCCCATTTGACATGAATGGTTGTTTTAGGGTCTTTAGCTTCTGTAATCTTAGTTTTCAACAGTGGCCTGATCTGGGAGTATGTTGGGTGGTAATGGTCTTTTCTTTTTTTTATTGTTGAAGGTGTTACTCTTTCTTGTGAGCCAAATGCTCCTAAGACAAAAGGAATGAGAGCACCCCAATTCAGTCAAGTATTGAATGTTTGTCTAGTTATCTTTATTGATGGCACTCATATCAATGATTCTAGGATCTAATCTACTGGTCACCATAATATTCAGAAGGTTAAGGCATTTGTGCATTGGAAGAAGATGTGATCTATGTCTTCTTTGTAGAAGTCACAAAGGTGGCATTTCGGAGTAACATTCATACCCTTATTGTGGAAGGAATAGTTTGTTAGAATTCTACAATAGTATAGGAGCCATATGAATGTTTTAACCTTATTAATTAGGGGTCCTTAATTGACCAGATCCAACTGAATCTTTTGTTGGTTTCTTATTGATGTTTTTGAAGGCTTTCATTGATGTTGCTGTTGGATGAACCAATTGAGAATAGGCCATTACTAGTTACAAGAATGTTCTCTTTATTCTCACCAGGTGGAAAGGAGTAGTTGGTAATGATGTTTTTGAGGTTTTAAAGGAGGGAGAAGTAGAGTTTTCCAAAGTCCCATTCTTCATTTTCATGAATGTCTCTTATCTTAAGGTGTTCCTCCTCTCTCAAGATGGGTCCTTGGATACTCAGTCGAATAGCATTTGAGTGTGTCTCCAATGAAGTTGACTTTATCTCTCTTATGAACTATCCATAGCATCAACACATTCTGCCCATCCCTTTTGGATGTTGTTCCAGGTTCTGGACACAGTTTTACTAGATTTGTTGTTAGTATTGGGCATGTGGTACTTGTAAATCAGTACTTTTCTCCAGAGCTTATGGGATTTCGATAATTCTCCATGCAGGCTAGCTAGGATGGCTCTATTCTTGATTTCACTCTTTTGGAGCCCTAGGACAACATTCTCTTTCTTGCTAGTAATGGTATCCCAATTGATTAGTTGAAGCTTTCTTTTCTCTATTGTCGTCCCCATATAAAGTATGTTTAGATTTTATTTATGTTGTCAGTTATTTTCGTAGGGAGCCTGGTGTATTGCATCACATCTTAGGGGATACTGCTGAGTGTGGACTTTAGGAGCACATTCCTACCAGTCATGTTGAGGAATATGACTTTCCATCCGGCAAGTCTTTCTCATGTTATCAATCAAGAATTGGAAGTTGATAAGTTAGAGATTTTAGACTCAATTGAGGCTTTTAGTTCACCAAATAGTGTCCTCAATGCCTTTTATGTCCATTTCTGATATAAATTTGTTGAATTGCAGCTATGAAGAATAAAAGACAAGTCAAAGACAAAAGAATTAAAAGAGAACCCAAAAACTTAAAAAAACAAAGAAAAAAGGCAAAGTTATAGCTCGCCAAGTGCAAAGGGCGACTCGCCAAACAAGCTGTAGCTCGCTGAAAATGTCAAAGCAGATCGACAAGGAAATTATTCTAATGACGACTCACCAACAATGTTGGTGAGCCTTGGTGTCTTCGCCGAATTCATCTGAGAGTTCTGCTACAAATAAAAGTCAATTTAGCGAGTAGTTATTGAAGTGGCAACTCACTAAATAGTAATGTAGAACTCAATCGAGCTCACCAAAGGTGTTCAACACATGAAGCCTTGAAGCGAAGCTGAAAGGCGAGAAGAAGTGATAGTTGACGACTCATCGAGTGAGTCAGTGAGCCCGACTAATGTCGCCGAAGTGACCTAGAAGTGCAATTTTTGTCAAACTTTGGGAAGGTATAAAAGGTTTTGAAGAGAAAGAAAATGTATCTTCCATTGCTCAAAACTCACAGTACTTAGAACATTCTTGGGACTTTGGGTTTTTGACTTTTTTACCCTTAGAATTTTGATGGTTTTGAATTGGGTGTCTTTGAATTGAAGCTTGAATCATCTTCATTGAATGGACTACAACTTCTTTGGTATAATTCAATTAAGTTCTAGCATATGTAGTTAAACCCCCTCATTCTAAAGGTGTGCAATGTAGTTGAGTATTAGATTGTTTGTGGGTTTTTTGACTGCTCAAAACTATGTTAATTTACAAAGGTTTTAATTATCTTAACATGTTTTAATGTATGATTAGGGGTTGCAAACTCAAATCTATTTTATATGTCTATGCTTTCTTGTGAAAGATGCTTAAAGTAGATGAGTTAATTGCTAATTGTTGATTGATTTCAATTGCTAGTTTTTCTTGAAAGAGGAAACTATATTAAGGTATTAGATCGATTTTGTGTATTACGCATGTTGAGATTTGAGAGAACTCTCATGAAAGATGATTTTTTTATTGAAAAATGCCCATTGTATTACTCGTCGATTTAGCCTACCCATTAAGAATTAACTATGTTGAACAACATAATTACACATATTCAGAATTGATACTCAATTACACACACTCCTGGAATTCATCTCTTACTTGATAAATTCCCTTGTCCTTTGCTTTTGTTAACAATTCGTTGACCAATCTCTCTATTGATAATTTAAAACTTCTCGAATTTGAATTTATGTTAACGTTGATTCTATAACCTTACAAGAGATTAGTACATAATTTTTATTTCATAATTGAAGTCTAGCCTTTACTACTCCCTGTACATTCGACCCGAACCTCTTGTTGGGTTATTTATTGCTAACGATCGTGTGTACGTTGAATAATAAGGCATACACTTGAGCATTATCAAAATGGCGCCATTGCAGGGGAATGGTGCATAGATTTCTTTAATTGAAGTGACTTTGTGAACTAATTTCTTGTCGTTGAATACTCTTACCTTTGTTTGGTTGGTTGTTATCTTGATAGGTGATGACACGAGTGTCAATGGCAGTGATGCTTCTAGCAACCATGGCCGAATGGGTGATAGTGGTGATTTGGAAGATCTCGGTAGCGCTAGTGCTATCTGATACCCCTAACCTTGGGAAATGCAATATTTCATGTTACAAGTACAATGCTCCAATTGCTTCTAATGAAGGGGTTGTGTGGAGAGTTAGCTCATGAAGACCCTCATGATCATCTTCAGAATATTGTGGAAGTATTTGGCCGTTCACTTTCAATAACATCACCCAAAAATCTATCTGATTGAGGTTATTCCCATTCTCCTTGATGGGTGATGCTACGAAGTGGTTGGCGGAGTTACCAAGGGACTCAATTTCTTCATGGGAGGAGTTAAGCGAGGCATTTCTTGAGAGGTTCTTTCCTCCATCTAAAATGTTAAAGCTCCAAGATGGCATTCAAAACTTCCAATGTGATGATGGAGAGCCAATTTACGAAACATGGTTGAGGTTTCAAAGAAGCTCTTGCAATGTCCTACTCATGGGTTGTCAGATAATGTCCTTTTGCATATTTTCAATCGCAGTCTTGATACGGTAAATAAGGGGGACACCGCCCAACTCATTTTTGGTGGAATCACGAGACAACTATTTCTAGTGGCTTCTACTTTGCTTAATGAGATGACAAAGATAAACTGCGCTTGGCACACAAGGGAAAATCAAGTATCACCTCATGCTATGGGTATGACTAAATAACAATTGGAGAAGAACCAAGAGCGAGATGAGAACATGACAAAGATGATGACTCGGTTCGATGTCTTATTAAAACATGTTATGTTTGGTGGTTTCGAAAAGGTGAATGAGGTTGGAACAAGTGATGGATTATGTACGGAAGATGAAAATTTTGAAGCTATGTACAATAAAGAAGTTCCGTTTTTGAGTAATCAAGCGGGGGGTTCTCGCTGGAGCTATCCAAGGTCGGGCGGGAATTAAGGTTGAAATAAGGAACGTGATAATGTTTGGAGAGATAGAGAAAGAGATTGGCATGATCAGGGTACCAATTGGAGAGAACATGAGGGTGATCAGGATCAGTATGTGCCACCACATGACTGGCCAAAGACCAAGGAGCGAAATGCTGATCCGAAAAGTTTTCGGACTGAAGATATGCTTGAAGAAACCTCAACAAGGTAGAAGGTTCCGACAAGGTACTTAAACTTATGAAGATAGACTTCTCATCCTTGAATCAAACTATTACCTCACCTCAGTCTTTATAAAGCAACTTGAAACTCAAATAAGTCATATTTTGGTTCATTTGAACCCTCGACCGAAGAGAGGTTTACCTAGTGACACGGTCGCAAACCCAAAGAATGATGCTCATATCATGGCAATTGTAACCCGAAGTGGTAAGGTATTGAAAAATGATTCTATGAATGAGAATGATGGCTCAAAAAAGTGATTGACGATGATGAGTCACCGAGGGAAGTATATGTTGATGAAGCAAATGTTGTTGCTAATGATGCTAGTACTGATAATATCGGGGTTGATTATATTTCTAATTTAGGAAGGTGATATTGCTACTCTATCAAGCAAGGTGAATGTGCAAGTATCGATCAAGGTGACCCCTCCTTTTCCATAACGCTTGAAGAAAAAATATTGTGATGCTAAATTTCAAAAGTTCTTGGCCATGCTTAGGGGTTTGTCGGTAAATATCCCTTTAGTTGACGTGATGCTTGAAATGTCGGGGACACAAAATTTATGAAAGAGTTGGTAACCAAGAAGAAAAGGATAGAGTTTGAGACTTTGAAATCTCACATAGTTACAGTGCCATTATGTCAAGTAATGTGATTATTAAGAAAGATAATCCAGGGGCCTTCTCCATTTCTTGTACCATTGAGGTATATTTGTTCTCTAAGGAACTTTGTGATCTAGGAGCAAGTATCAAGTTGATGCCCTTAGCTATCTTCAAAAGGCTTGGGTTAGATTCTCTGAATCCAATAACAATGTGGCTCTTGATGGCTGATTGGCCTATCAAACGTTTGATAGGTGTACTTTATGATATCTTGGTAAAGTTGGATAAGTTCATTTTCTTTGATGATTTTGTTGTGTTGGATTGTGAAATTGATGTTAAGAGCCTAATTATCTTAGATAAACCTTTCTTGGCTACCAAAAGGGCCTTAGTGGATGATGAAAGTGGAGAGTTGAAGTTTAGAGTGAACAACAAAGAGGTCAATTTTAATGTGTGCAAGTCTATGAAACACCCATGCAATATGCATATCGTATCTTATGTTGATGTTATTGATGATGATGTGGCAAGTGTTAGTGAAATTACTTGTCATGGAGAGTCGTTGGCGGTTGTATTATTGAATTATGATGGGGAGGAGATCTGTGATTATGATGAGGTAGTCGTTGCACTTGTGGGGTCGGGTTCCTTTCCATCTAACCCCAAGAAACTTGTTATTGATTTTAAGAATAGGAAGAGTCCATCAATTGAAGAACCCCCAAGGTTAAAGTTGAAAGCCTTGCCTTCTCATCTTCGCTATGTGGTTTTAGGAGGTAAAAACACCTTTTCAGTTATTGTTGCAAATGATTTATCGGAGGGACGGGTTGATGCATTGATTGGGGTGCTAAAAAGATTCATCAAAGCATAGGTTTGGTCGATTGCTAACATTGTCAGGATTCCACCCCGCATTGCACATATAAAATCCAATTAGCTAATTATTGCAAAACGAGTATAGATAACCAAAGGAGGTTGAACCCTCATATGCAAGTAGTTATGAATAAAGAGATTATAAAGTGGCTTGATGCGGCGTATCATGTATCCCATTGCGGATAGCAAGTGGGTTAGCCTGGCATAATGTATTCGAAAATCATAGGGGTATGATGGTCGTACCTAAAGGAATGAGCTTCTGGCTACGAGAGTTGTAACAGGATAGCGAGTGTGCATGGGATATCGTAAGCTTAACACATGGACTGAAAAAAACCATTTTCCAATGCCATTCATGGATAAAATGCTTGATCATCTTGCGGGTAGGGGATGGTATTGCTTCTTGGATGGGTACTCAGAGTATAATCAAATATCTATTGCCCCATATGACCAAGAGAAAACTACATTCACAAGTTCCTATGGTACATTGACATTTAAAAGGATGCATTTTGGGTTGTGCAATCCCTCAACGACCTTACAAAGGGTCATTATTAAATACTGGTCTAACAGTTCCTAATCCAGGAAAAGTTCAACTTCCTAATGGTGATTCTGGTATAACCACTCAGTTTGGCAACTATCAATTGGAAGGAGGTGTGTAGTTCACAATGTTTTATGTATAATTGAGTTTCACTTCACTCTCTTGTCTTCATCAAAATTGACAAGAGAATTGAAATGTTGTGCAACATTTTTTCCTGATTTTATTGTCTTTTGGAAGGTGAAGGGGATTCGTAATGAGAAAAATGGCCTATACACAATGAGATCACAAATAAAAAATGAGGACTACAAGAATAAGGCTCTAGAGGTGACAGATTAGAGAGAAAAGGGCACTATATGGCATCAAAGAATGGGGGATGTGCCCATGATTTTTATTAGAAAACTAGTTTTGTTAAAAATAGACATAATCTAGTTTTAAAGCATTGTGATATATGTCCAATTGCCAAACAAGTCAGATTACCTTTTCAGTCTAGCAGTAGTAGATCATCTCAGTGTTTTCATTTGATTCACATGGATGTATCACTACAACAAAACTACCTTTTAGCGGAAATAAATATACACATTAACAAAGAGTGTTAAACCCTTTATCGACATTAGTTAATTGTCATTGGATTCAATGTCACTAAAGGCTTTAGGGACATATACAAAGAGTACTAATTGCCGTTAAAAATATATATTTAGTGGCAATCAAGCTATTGTCGTTAATTAATTATCGTCAAAGATCATTTTTGATGTAGTGTATGGGGACCATATAGGTTGCTACTCATAATAACATGAAAATTTTCCTTACTTTGGTGGATGATCACTCTATATGGACTTGGGTGTTCCTATTGCATCTTAAATTTGATGTGTGTACTTTGCTTCAGAACTTTCTAATCATGATTGCAACTGAATTTTGTAAGAAAGTAAAACACTCAAATCTGATAATGGTGGTGAATTTTCCAATACACAGTGCAGAGTTCTGGAGAGAAGACACGTGCACATACTTAAAACTGTAAGGGC